TCGAAGATTCGATGGCAAATCGGAGGATCGAGTTAGGTAACGCGTGGAATAACACTCTTCTAATCTGCATATGTTACAATTTGCTGTAACGTATCTCGTTGCGTAACGAGATTTAGCCAGTTTGTTTATCGGCGAAGTTAAACAAAAATTCGCCATTATCTATAGAGAATACGCGAGACGGTCTCGTTTGGAGCCGTCAACCTTTATTTGCCTTGTTCTCTTCTGCTTTCATGCGTGTCCTGGAAATCAACGTGTAAGCTCTATACCGCGACTTCCACTTTGCGGAATGACAAAGTCGCATCGTTTACCGCGACGGCGATAAATGTCGTGATTTATGGTTACTTAAACAAGTACCCTAAGAAGCTGGTAAGGACAATTGTGACGTCGAAACGTCCGTGTTCGTTTCATTGCGTCGCCGTTCGCGATACGCACGTGCAATTCACGATGCACAACGAAGAGGTTGCTCGCGGTGTACTTGCGTAAACGAGGACCGCGCAGACAAGCGTGTCGGAAGGTAGCTATCGTGCACATAGGCATTATATTATGTACTCTGCTATCCGCGCGCCTAGCTGGCGCCCGACACATACTTTATCGTCTTTCTAAACTCGGTATCGTGCAAACGGCAAAATTTAAATATTTATTATTTCGCAAGCGCGCCAACGTTTGACCGGAATTCGTGCAGCTCCGTTCGGTTTCGAACTAAAAATCCCGCGGGACTCTCCAGGTGGCGCCACTCGGCCGCGTAAATCTATCGATCGATCGTGAATCACTCGAATCGGACCTACGATCGTAAACTTCGCTCCTGTCTTCGTCAACGATTTTATCATCGTTTCGACGTCGCGTCGCGATCCTATCCACTCCATTATCTCCACTTCGCTTCTGTATTCTCTTGTTTTTCGCTTCTACGGTGGCGCAATTATTAGAGGATTTTTGGGCAAAGACTCAATAGTGGTGTGCACTGTGTCTTAACACTAAATCTACCGGCATATAATGTGTACTTAACTTGAAATTAAAAATGAAGTTAAAAAATAAATAATCAAATGACGAAACATTAATTAGCGCACACATTTATTCTTTATCTTAATAAAAATCAATGTTGATTTGAAGGAATGTATTTTAACAAAATGTGTACCCTATAATAAGGAACTTTTTTAGCGGTCATTTGACCGGTTTGGAAGTTTTAGTGTTAAAACAGAGACTTCGAACTTCCTTGGTAGAAATTTGGAGCCAGACGATTCAGAAATTGGAAATCATTCAACTCGGTGATTTGATGATTTGAAAGTTTAAGAACGGAGAAACATAGAAACTTGTTAGACCGCAATGTAAGAGTAGATTATGTCCCCTATCGAGTTACGCCAATGTTTCCGAGAGAATGAGACAGTCGAAGTAGGAAGCTCCTCGAAGTCTCCCTTTTCGTTCGATGCACAGCGCATCTATAAAACGTTGAAATTGCACGCGTCCTTAATTGCGCTTCGCTGGCTGACTGGCGCAAAAACAGCAGACGAGTTTAAACGTGCCGGTGCAAGTCCCTTTTCCCTTTTTTTTTCCTTTTTTCTCCCTCTTTCTCTGCCTTTCGTCCAGAGGAACGTACAATTTTGCAATTACCGGTGGCCGCGGCATGCGATGCGGCGGCGCGTCTGCATCTGCTTCGCTCTTATCTTTCCGCGTTTCTTTTTATCGTTGGGACACTCGCGGCGTACTTGCATCCCATGCATCTGCCGTTTTCCCGATACGCGCCGACCGACTCGATCGGACGTTTCTTATCGATTTATCATCGCGACCGGATCTCGATCGCCGGATCGTATTTCGGAGCTGTCCGAGAAAGTTGCTCGTCGAATCGGAACGTGTACAAAAGGCAGAGTCAATTAACGTACTTTGGTGACTTCAGCGGTCTTAATTTAGAGAGCGGCGTTTCCCGACTTTTATTGCTTCGGCGTCAAAGCTGAACGCGAACGAGAGTTTCGGACGGATCGCCAGAGCAACTGCTTTCGTTTCGATCGGTTCGCGACGATCGCTGGTTAGTCGACGCGTTTTAAAGGTTGCGTGCATACCGCCAGTTTAATTACCGCGCTCGGTTCCGATACTAATCGCTCGCATTAATTACGAACATAATACGCGACGCTCGCGGGCTAACAAACAGTACCGTAATCAACGATTTTTCGCGTAGGAATGCGTCTAAGCGGCGAAGGCCACGTGTAATAATAAACTTTAGCCGCAACACAATCTAACTAACACGCAGACACGCGACCGTCCGGAACAAATAAAGAATCCCGGAGCTCTCCAACGTAGCGATCGTAATAATCGTTCGTGCAAAAGTTGAAACCGCGACGAGGGGTTTCGGAGTATCGTTGATACGAGTCCGGTCTGTTCGCGACCCACGTGTTCACACGCTCGTTTCGATCCCTTCGCGCCTACGTTTCCCTCCGACTTTCCCATGAAATCATGCGCCCAAAATGAAAACCATTACCGTTGTCATCGGATTTTCCCTCGTTATCGGCCAGCACCTCGTAGTCGCCCGAATCGAGATCCACGGAAGCACCAACGACCACCGTCAGACTGGACACCATCGTAGCAAAAGTCAACAAGTCCCGCGACAACATTTTACCAAGAGTTTCTTTTAATCGAGCACTGTATCTTCGCGGTCGATCCTCGGGTCAACGCGCGCGTTAGAATCGCGGACAAAAACGATCAACGGGAGCCGCGATCAAACCCCATCGAATCGTTCCGCGCGACGATTAAAATTCGCTGTACGTCGGTCACGAGCGATCGATCCTGTCGGCGATCGACGAAGAATTCATAACGAGAACAACGAACGGATCGAGACGACTGCAGGAGAAAATCGTGGACGAGCAAACGCGCGTCCGATCCCAACGATGGTCGACGCTTGACTGACTGACTCACTTCGGTCTCGAAAAGCAAACGCCGTGCAGCCGGACGACTCCACAGCGGCTGGCGCGCACCAGGGGCACCCGCCGAAGAACACTCGCCAGATAGTTTTTAAACGAGTCCCGCCTCCGGCTGCGATAGTGTTGCCCCTTGTCGGTGAACCACGCACCGTCAACGACCACTACACAAGCCTTTCGTGCTTGTGTCCTTCGTCTATGAGCTACAGGGTGTCGTGTAACCGACGGTATGAACATGGAAATTAACCGATTCCTTCTATAAAAGGTACTACTCGAGTGTAACCTTCCTATAGGCTCAATTGCCGCAATTTGTAAGTCCTCTTTTCGAGCATCAACTTTGGGGAAGTAGGTCGCGGAAAATTACCATTTTGCAACAGTGGAAAGATTCTCTCCTCTGAAATTTACATACTCTTTTGGACATTTGTACTCTATCCAAGAATTTAGGACATCTAGCACAATTCAAGCTTGAGTGAAAAATAATGTTCTCGATCAATTAAGTTTTCAAATATAAACGACAACTCGGACGTTCATATCACAGACGATGCCCTATATCAAGTTATGATACATTTATATAAAATAACAGAAAATTGGAGTCCTTAAAAAGTGTACAATAATTTGAACGAGGATAATATGACATTTGACGAATCAATGATTTTGGAGCGGATCATCGATCTTCATAGATCGTCATCGAACCAATTCGATCGGTTAGGAGTCTCGGTAAGAGCGCACATGGCCTGCGCCACTTACATTAATGGCAGCCACTGTACCAGAACGTGGTGTGCGGGCAAGCTGGTGAGCTGGTGTGTTGGTGAAACGTTGAGTGGCGCGGATCGACGCCGGGAAATGGGCGGTTGGTGAGGGAAACGAGGGACAAGGAGAGGGGAGACAGTGGCGCCTAAGCCCCGAGGCAGAGACGCCACGTTGCCACGGTGTGGGTGAGTGTCTGTGCGACGCACGATGCGAGCACACACACGCTCACACGTTGCCGCACGGTGTACGTATAGGTGTGTTCCACGAGTGTGTGCTCGCACACGCACGAAAACAGGACGTACGAAGCGTCCTGAACGAAGGGACGCGGCAACTTACTTTTGCCGTGGATCATCAGCCCTCCTGACAGCCGGTCGCCTTTTTAGCTTTTGTCGTGCGTTATGTTGTTCCGAGCTACTTCTTTTCCTTCGTTACGAATAAAAGCACGCGAGTACGCAAGCCACGTTTATGCGGGCTTTTAACTATGCCGCGAGCCGAATGAAAATTGTCCTTTGTGCGCGACGCGATATCCGTTTGTCGCTGCTTCGAACCACTGATGAATATTTGAAACTCTCTTTTGCAAGTCTGAAACTCCGCGTCACACGGGTTTTACAATTTTTCAAATCTGACGTAAACTCGTATACATCGTCGTTTCTTAATATTTCTTTGAAATGGAGCATTGATAATGTTATTTTAACGATGTAATCAGACATACCCTGAACTATTGACATTGTTCCAAAATCTATGAGCTTTAAAATTGTTGAATTCTAGGTGATCTTATAAACGATGAAGAGTATGCAAATTTTGAGTTAAAATCGTAGAATGAATTGCTTTGCTCCAAACAAAGAAACATAGAAAAATTTGTGATAGTTATTCCAACTGTTGCTACGCAATTCGTAACGGTACGCGCAGAACCGTATCGGTAAGAAAATAAATCTGTTATACGTTACACGGTTTTCGTAGCTAAAGGGCTAAACGTGCCGCGATTACGCTCGTGTTCGAGACAGCGAATCCGAAGCTTTTAATGAAATTGCACTGAACTCGTTGAGAAGAGTTTCATGCGTTAATGGTGGGATTACGACGCTCTGTTTTACGAATGCAGATCCACCAGGCTTTATCTTTTGAAGAAGATAAAGGAAAGGATTAAAGTCGTTCTGGGAAGACAAAGATTCAAAATGGTTTATTCGATGAGTATAAGATTACACGTTTGGATCAATCGTTTATAAATATTTTTGAAGAAATTATTTTCAAGTCTAAACAAATTTTTTTAACAGATTTTTTTAAAAATCTTTCCAACAAGCTAAATCAAACAATGAATTTTAATTGAAAGAATAATTTGTATTGATCAAAGTGTCACATTTCTTATATAAATATATTCTCCCAAAATTTGCATTTCGAGTTATCCAGTGATCCTCGTATTGAATGAAAAACGTCAGCAACCCATTGAAAATAATTCTCCGGATATAGGTGTATGAAAGGAGGCGATGAAAGGGGATAAATCGTCAGTCTTTGTCCGCTAATCGGCTTCGCTTTCAATCGGCAAGCGTATTATGCATACGGGCGTCTCTCGATGACCCTTTTCGCTTCACGATAGATCTCTTACTGCCGTTCCGCCTCGGATCGATCGTCGACAAACAGAAATCGCCACCTGGGACCAACCGGTTGCTACAACACGAATAAAACCATCTTGAAGCTTATTAAATTCGTTCTGCTAATTCGTAGCTTCAAGTGGTTTCCTCGAAAACAGTCTCCATCTACGTATCTCGTTCACGGACGTGATCTTGCATCATTGCTGTTGATCTTTTTATTACACTGCCTTTTTTCGTGGATCACGTTTCCTCTCTCCCACATGGCTTCTGCTTTGTGGCAAACTTGAAATTCAGGGACATGGATGTACAAGTTTTGATAGAGGGAAATATAGGGCTCTGGAATCTACAAGGACTCTGGTATACTGATAGGAGATTTGGAGATTGATAGATATGGGGATGTAGGGATCGGGAATCTAGAAATCAAGGATTTGGAGCTTGAGGAATGTAGTAGTCGGAGAAACAGAAATCGGAGGATAAGGGATCTGGGGACCTAGTGATCAGGAGATTTAGAAATCGGGAGATCCACAGCTCTGAGAGCTAGGGATTGCGTGATACAGAAATCGGGGACATAGGGATTTGGATATCTAGAGATTGGGGCAATTCAGAGATCTACGAACTTGAGAACCCCACGATGTGAAGATCTAGGGGTACACGAGTCTATAAACGCAGTGCTCGATGCATAGAGATACGTTTCGCATTCACAGTATAGATAATTGTTTCCTTTAAGGCCTAAGCACGAGGTATCAAACGTGATCGTTCGAAGAGTTCCTTTTGAGGGGTCTAAGCGTGTCTGGTTCGATACTTGGAGCGTAACCATCGCAAAAGTCGACGGTACTGGGTTTATTTTTAGACGGGCATTAGCCAATTAACTATTAACTCGTTGGCGCCACGGCGCTGCTCCTATTTTTGCTTATTTCTTAGCCGTAGTAATGCATCGTTGCCCTCTTCCGAATCTTCGGCACGCCGTCGAGGACAATCTGGTCCATAGCGACGCCGGTGAGTACACTCTGCCAAATAAAACATGCTCTGGCAGAAGCACGTTGTCGATATTATTCTCGAGGCTGTCGCATCGAGTATTCGCTTGTCTCCGGAGACGCGGCAAAATTACACAATGTTCCGAGCGCCGACACGCATTCCGCACCGCCGATGAAATACGCTTCGGTCCCCGTGCTGGTTCAAAGCGTTTCATTGTTAAGCCGGAGATAACGGCGATGAGAAAAACATCGATTTAACGAGCAAAGCAGCTCGGTTCGTTGACACTTGTCGCGATACAGATGCAGCGATCCCTCTTAATTCCAAATCGACCAACTGGAATTATCCGTTGCTAATTACGCTTGTGGACGCGGCTCACAGGGAAGTAGCGTGTAAATTATTTCACGCTCGAACGGGGATCGAAGTTGCTCGAGGTAACCGCATCGGCGACAAGAAACGAAAGAAAGGAGGAAGAAACTCGAGAGAGAAACGTCTTGTTAGTGGCTCGTGGATGAACCAGTTAGACAAGCTGAAGATGTTTATCTGAGATATTTGGTCATTCGTCGATGCCCGGAGGACGATGGGTATCCTACCTCCGGATCGAGCCCATACGTTTAACCGAGTGATTGATTTTCGTCGACCGCAACGAATTCGGTGGTCAGACGGTCCACTTGGATCCATAGTCGAGCACCTGGTCGTCGCTGCCCGCTCGGTTCTCAGGGTAGACCTAATGGAATAATACGCTTTTGTTTGTCATGCCTCCGAACTGACATGACTAAGACTGTCAGTCATCCTATGATTGACGATGCCGAAGAAAAAACGATACAAAAGTTTATTCGAATGGTACCTTGCCGATCGAGGTTCAATTCGACGCTGCAGACTACCGCTCTATAATTATTCATCATTTCTTTTAATTCTGTTACCTTGTTGCCGTTCTACATTCTTACAGTGACTCGACAATTATAAGTATATTAAATACGGTACACTCAGCCTGGAAAATTCGTAGCTTACCAAGTTACTTTACCTTTCAAAAAATTGTAGGTAATAAAGTTAAAACTTCGCCACGAATTTCCCGATCGACCGCTCGTGATAAAAATGTAAAACGTGTAAACGGGAATGCAGTTTGCCGTACGCATAACAATTTATCTTATCAATGTACACACTGGCATCGACAGCGGCTCTTCACTACCGTTCAATTTGCTTTTCACTTCCTGTCGCGCGCTTCGCGTTCAGCACGAGACTCCTCGATAGCGTCTGAACACGATTCACACGTTGTCCCTTCGGCTCCCTGCCATGGTTATTTGCTCCCAGCCTGCTAAGGATGACTAATTGCATGGAAACGAACGAAGCACCTGGGTTTCGGAGCCGTGTAACCGAATGGACGGAATTCGAATAGCAGGGGCCCGGTGTTAGTCATTCCGTTCGAAACAAAAGATTTCACCGGGTTACATAGTTTTGGGTTTGCTCGATACTGTCCCTCGTCGTGCCTCGTCACGCACTCGATGATTCTCGAAAGCATCCCACGTTTCAAATCCAGCGGGAACCGTGTGTCACCCTGAATAAACATCCACAAGCTTCGATTCAAGTAGACACAATTTTGTCGAGTACATAATTAAGAATTTGGACGTCGAAGCTAGAGGCTTCAACATTAATCTTTGATGATTGCACGAATTAATGGTTCGTCATATTTTTGTACCTCTTCAACTAATACTGTGCGACCAAGATGAGCTTCAGGAATTCAGAGACAAGTTTATTCTCCTTGTTTTCCTATTTGGCTGTTAGCTCTAACTAATTGCAGGACTTAGGACCCAAACCTCATCTTGTTAGCTATACGTTCATGTAGATTCCTTTGCTTTTTATTCAATCGTTATCAATGTAAAATAAACAATTGTATATAGTATAATTAAACGTTCGCGTTGTCTAACATTGACCGTAAAGATGTTAACATCGAAAATGAGGCGCTCATAAAACCGTGTTATGGTAACGAGACGTTTCTTTAATGTACGTCGCAGAATTACTAAGTTTCAAATTGTAAGTCTCGACACTATCTAGAGACATAAAGGAACTGTTGCAACATCAAGGGTAAATATTTTGCAAAGAAAATTGATATGCACCGCGTTACTCGCGTTGAGTGTAGTCAATTATCTTCCAACGCTACTGGCTAGGACTCGAAAGCTGTCCGGTATTATCCGTGACAAAAATCTTTTCAGCACGGACTCGTTTAGCCTGTCGGCGGTAGTTATCTCCTGCATGGCTAGTTCCTATTTATATTTTACATTCGTTAGCTGATCAGGGGCGTACAATTAAGATGTGTCCGCATACTTGTACGAGCATTTTTAATGTTCGCATAAGACTGATATCATTTCCAACGTTGTTAAACGCTGAGTTAGTGACGAAGATTGAAGATGAATTAAGCTTACCTAATTACAGTTACCCAACAATGAAAGAACACAGAGACCCTTCGGTCGGTGCCAACAACCCCCACAAGAATCAACGTTATTCCATGTTGCTAATGGTATAAGGGTTGGTTTTCAAGAACCTGTAAACGAACAAAATGAAAATCTCGTTAGGACTAAACCTATTAAAGTTTTGAACAAGAAAGATATCTGTCGATAAAAACAGTAGACGCAACGGAAACGCGTTTACTAAAAAGCGCACCGTGATTTACCTCTATTCTCTGTGCACTCGAGGCGAGTTGATAAGGAAAAATCTGTGGCGCCCGCGTTATCCTCGTGACAAGGCAACGTCATTAGAAACGTGGCCACGGTTGGCCGTGTGAAACACGAAGAAATCGGGAAAGGAACGCGATATCGTTGGACACGCTCGCTCGAATGTACACGGTTCGAGGGCGAGATAAAGAAAGAAGGAAAGGAAGCAACACGTCCACGTAGGTGTATACGCGAACCGAAGGCCAGGACATTCCCGAACTCGAAAACCCACTTAACCGTTCGGGGACCGAAGATTAGAGGGTAGACCCCTGGCGGGTATTCGGGGTCTCGCTATCTGTTTCGAGGGATCCCTCGAAAGTGGAGGCTTTTGATAAGAGAGGACAGTTGCGCGGCTTTTAGTGAGCGGCGACAAAGCGGCCAGACGGAACCCACCGAAATCGGCCACCTCAGAAAACGAAGATGAAAACCCGTGCAGATAAAAACAGCCTTGGACGGAAACCGCTGGCAGTTTGGCTCGATACGTCGCGGTTCGTTTTGTTCCATCGCGGTTTTCAATTTGGGGTTGAGAGGATGTGACCGCTGTGGTCCTCCGATCAGCAATTTTAAGTTATTCGCATAACTATGATACATATAGAACTTGGGAACATGAAAATATACTGTAGGGGTGTGAAAATTCATAAACTTAGAGTATTTGAAAAAAGGTGACACGATGAATGTATTTACATGTCAATGGACCGCACCCTCGCGTCCATCTAGGTAACCTAGCGTAAAAATCTGTCAATAAAAATAGTTGATTTGATTTGCGGCAGAGCGCATAATTCTTGATTGTTTATCGAGAAGTATCGACAGTAAGGCGAGACACGTCGCACGTGGCAGGCTTATCGGATCGGCAATGAGAGGACTCCTTGTACACGAGGTATTAATATCGGTAATATTTCAAGTCTGAACTGTCCGGTTAAGCCGATAATCTAGCTTCGGTACACGCGTTACCGATTTTCGACGCGCGAGCACTCGATTGACCGTAACATCGACGACTATCGAGAGACAGTTGCAGTTTGTAACCTCGTGAACGGCGATTGTTAACGGGTCGCCGGAGTTAATATTAGCACAAGGCTTTTCGTTGCGTCGCCGCTTTCCAATGGGATTTTTCAATCGTCTTTTAAACGGGGTGGGAACAAAGCGAGGGAACACGCGCGTCATCTAATACGTATGTACTTACAACGAAGGTAGCCGCTCGCCTTCGAAAACGTAAACGCCTCTGGTTCTGACATTTCTGGCTCGGCATGCAGCTTTTCCTACTCGACGACAGAAGAACGAATCGAAACTTTTGCTTTGATCGTGAATTTGAAACGCTGCGCTGGAGAGCGGCTGGCAAGCTGCTCTATGCCAGCGAACCAATGCCAAGCAATTACAATTACAACCTTACATACCAACGTTGTTTCTTTAATAAAGGGACCGACCGGTTTTTGGCTACGAATCAAGGAAACGTGGGAAAAATACAAGAATATTTCTCCAGGCAAACGAGAGAAAACATACGAATAGCGACGGATTAAAAATTACGTTGTTTATAATCGTCTATGGAATCAGAAAAAGAAAAGTCAAAAAACATGGCTGGCAATACGTCAAACTCTCGTTCGTGAAACTCCCGTACGATGCTCGTGCTTGGCATCGTAAAACACGCTCTTTATTGAAGCGTCTTTGCCAGACCTGTTTTCCTCCTCGGTAAAATCAACACGGTAAAAAGTTGCAAGAGACACCTTTCTTCGAGTGTACGATTCAAGTAACATTTTGCAGACCTTGTAATAACGTAGCAAGCTGCTAGCACCGATATCAGAGCAGCGATCGCTAACACCAGCGCGGCAACGTGAAGAGGCTTCACGCGGTTCTGAACAAATTGATCCGACGATTTTCGTCCTCCGCTCATCGGTCCTTGATCTGATTCGATCGATCCCATTAGGTTCTCGTTTGGCACCGCGTTCAGGGTACCTGTACACAAACTTTATCTTAATATTTATTCATAGGGTTCATAGGGTTCATATTCAATGTAGGTTCATAGAAAAATTATGCAGGTGAAATTTTTATTAATGGAGCTTGAGAAGCATTACGATTCCAAGTTTTTCAATATTTTGAGAGCTATGAAGTATTGGGATGATAAAATCTTTATGTGTTCTGAATCTTCGTTTCTAAATCTCTAAATCATTAAATTTTTCAAGTTCCGAAGTTCTGTATTCTTAAATCTCTGAGGTACAAATCTGAGATCTCAGAACTCCAAATTTTAACTTGTTAAACTTCCAAAGATTCAAGTCCCAATAAATCTCCCAACTTTCCATATTTCCCAAGATCCAAGTAGCCAAATTTCCCCAACTCTCAACCTCCCAAATTCCCCAAGAACCAAATCCCAAATTCTCAGAGCCCAAGCGTAGAATTTCCAAATTACAGCCACGCGACCGAGAGTCTACCGAAACTGGTTTCCATGAACCCAAACGAGCGGTCGCTGGAATACTTGGAGTTCCCGGACACCTCTAATGGTTGTAGATCGGAGTGTTACGAAAGAGGTTAAACGTGGATTTATTTACCGGCATGGTCCAAGGTGGGTTCGACGCGAACCGGCCCCTCGTGGATCCACGTGGACACGTTTACTTGGTGCTCGGCATTACAGTAGTCGTGGCTGTCGCAACACTTCAATCTGTGCCAGGGCATATGGATCCAGCCGGTCGACGATCGGTCCACATTGTCCGTTTGCGACGACCTCGTGCTCTGGGACTTTGTCTCGCACAACAGCGGCGTGGCACCCCTGAGCAATGGCAACGCACAACGTACCGATAAAACGGGCTCTTACTCGATAAAGTTCCGTGACCCCGGCGATACAGTCCCGGATTTAAATAACCATTTCGCACGATTTACGTAGCTACATTTCAATACCGTATTGTCGCACCGTCAGCTATTCGCAAAGTCCTTTTGCGAAAGTAGCGGCTATCGAAAAAATGATGTGTCGACAGTTCATCGAATCTTTTATGACTCAGCAGTTCTCTTTCTTAATATTCATTCGATTTTATCGCAGCTCCAGATATGTTTTAACTACCAGATGCGAATTCGATTGAATTAATTATTTGCACAAGCGAAGGGAATGTTTAAGGGCTCGTGTTGAGACGATTAACGGTAAAGATGAAATTGAAAGATTATGTACCCTTGTTCTTAATAATCTTTATGGTATGTACAGCAGTCTTCACTGTACCAATTAACGTGTTAATCAACGTGAAGATAGAAAATTAAAATCATGATTCGACAATTTTGGTGGTGTTTAAAGTCGATCGAGGAGTCTAACGGACCAGGTACTTGTGTTTCATTACATGTTACTTTGGTATTGTCATATACTTTTTCTTTATTTCTAACATAAATCTGGTGCGAATTATTAGAAAAGTTATGAAGGCTTGTGCTTCTCGAAATTCTTTAAAAAATCATGCATAAATGTACGACTGTTATAAAATATTTCTGCACAGTCCACTGTGCGTGCTAGCCTCGAGTATTATGGAAGGGGCGAAGGGGAGTATTCGATCGAAAAGGGGGTCAGTTACAGTTGTTTCGCGAACAACATTCTTATCTTCGGTAAAAATTAATTTTTTCCTTCTGGTCATCGTGGGTAATTGATACCGCGGTTATCTACCGATAACCGTTAGAGAATTTAATTGGGATGCAATAAAAACTGCTTGATTATTCGCATCGGAATGATTTTTGACGTCCGTCCCGGTATGGTCAGAGAAAGACAAGAAGAAGAAAAAAGAAGATTCGTCAAAACCTTTCGAGTCCGATTATCTCGTCAAGGTTATCTGCTTACCATAAAAGCGTCCAGTGAATTTATAGCGGAACGTCGATCGCCGCTGGATCCGGCAAAAATTAAATCGTTTTCGATGTTGACTCGTACCGTTGGAATTTACTGTCCAATAACAACAGAAAGGTTATAGGTCGGAAGTTTTCTTTTTATCGAATATTACCGGTGTCGTCGCTGCGCGAATTCCGCATCTCTTTCGTCGAGCAAGTTTATTTCCCCGCGCGAGAATAGAAAACGCTTAAAATTCTAAAAATGTGTCTCGTCCGTCAAATCGAACCAACGCGAATTCATCGAGAAGAAAAATTCTTAATATACCAACCCTGTGCATCCTCTCGTCGCGTTCCTCCCGAATTCCTGATTTCCATTCAGGATCAGTTCCGTGTAACAGAAGAATCTCGTCTTGCACGTGTCCACTCCGGCTTCCTTGCACACCCTGTTCGTGCACACGCATTTTCTACCTACAAAATATTCGCAGATGAAGACAAACTAGTGCATTTTGAATTTTTAGGGGCCTGGAATTTACAAATTTGCAGACTGGAGCTTTAGGAAACTTAGATCGTGAATTTGAAAATTTATAAATCTAGGAAGATGTTAATTGAAAGTCTCAAATTTTGAAATGTTCAAGTAGAGGAGTATGTATGTCCGCAGTGAATTTGCACGTGGACGTACCGCGCCCTCGTGGGCAGAGTTCGTGCATTAGTTGAAAGGAACGACATTCGCTACGTGTCACGGTGCATCAATTTATAGGTGTACAGATAGCGTGATAGTATGTGCATGTCCGTGTTCCTAAGCAATTACATAGCTGCGAAAAATCGATAACAAAGTTCCGAGATATATCAAACCGACTCACCTTCCGTTCGTTGGACGTTGCTCGACAGAAGAATCAAGAACACCAGGAAGAAACGCGCGCAGATCGCTGGCTCGATAACCGATCGATCGAAATACATGCCGTGATCTCGACGGAATCCGACACTCGCGAAACTCTCGATAATGCAAAGAATCGTTCACGGTTGTCTCGGGGAACAATCTCATTGATAAGGGGATCGGTTGCGATGCAGGATCGGTTCGTTATCTGTGCGAGAGCCACTTGAAATGCGTGCAGGAGACAGGATTATATATTATCATCTTGAAAAGCCAGTCTGTGGCCGGAACGGTGGACAACGATCTTGATCAAAAAAACCGCACGATTAAACGAGCAAAGGGAAGCTAGCACTCGATGACGTGAAATTATTCAGTGACACTCGAAACGAACGGGTTTAAAGATGATCGATATCGATAGATTATCCGACGGTATTCGATCAATTTCCCGCCGATCGAGCCTCATCGACCAACGGATAATTGTGAATAATAAAAGTAGAAGGAGGACGAATTATTGAAAGTCTGTTGCCAGTTGGAATAAACTAGAGGCACTTGGAGGTTGAATAGGTTCCAAGGAGGCAACCGTATCTCTCTCCGTTGGGGAAGTCACTCGTAAAAGCTGATCGAATCGAACGCAGAATCACGGCGCCTAGTCGCGACTGACAACGAGACGTCGCGAAAACACGGCTGTGTTATCGGCGTAAAGGACTATTTGAAAATGTCCGAAGGAAGCTACAAGAACAGACTTGTAAGCAGCGTGGGCTCCTCTAATTTTAGTACCTCCCACTGAAACCTAAACTCCATCCTTCTCTTTTCCTCGACCTGTACTCCTCGTTTTCGCTGCTACTCTTCTCGTCATTCTTTTTCTCCTCTTTCCTTTCTCTTTTCGCACCAGCAACAACCTCACGAATTTTTACTTCTACGTCTATTTTAATTCCGTCATCGCTGATATTCTTTCCTCGCATAACTTTGTCGCTTCGATCGGATGTCCAATCGCTTCCCTCGAGGACATTCTTCGCGGACGAGTTTTTCTCTTTTTGCGAGCTTCGCTTTTCTTGTACGCATCGCTCGTGGTTTACCCGTTGCAGAATGATTTTCATTCAGACGTAAAATCTTGTGTTTCGCAAGCATGTTTCATACTCACGCATTAAATATCTCCCAAAGTTTTGTTCTTGATATCGATTCAAAGTGTTTCAAGGTTCATTATTGTCCAAGACTTGTATACCAAAGTTAAGCTACATAATCCATCATGTATGAGTGACCCTACACGTAAATCAATATTCTGCAAAATCGAAACCGATAGAAAATCGAGTATCGAGAATGTACTTCTCCGATGTTCGAACGTGACTGGGCTCAAATCGCATGGATTCTCTACATAAACTCCAGAATATTAGCCACGATCAGACATTTTTATGAACTAGCTTCTAAACTATTTTTATGGACACTGAACTAATTACGAACATTAACCTATCATTCCCTTTCACTTTACAGTGTCAAATTTCGTAAACAAGCCTCTTCTTTATAAAAAGAGCTCTTATATAAACTCCAATATCAATAAATATGGATGAAAATGCTATTTCGCGCTGCTTATTTACATTTTGGTCGAAACACGTACATATTTCTTGCGAGCGCGAGGTGTGGGTGGATTGTCAGACCCAATCGTACTAATGGTTGCAAATAATATTCTAGCGTCCGTACAAAAATAAGAGATCAAAGTTACGATTTCTCCGTGTAAGTACTTATCGAGGCAACTAATAGCTTTTGTCTCTCTGTCTGTCCGTCTGGCCGGTCGTTTTTCTCGCGACCCCTCCGGCATAATCTGCGTCAGTCTCCCCGTTCGCAATTTATTCGTACTTTTGCCGGATTTCGCCCGCCTTTTTGCGCGTCCCGGCCTCTTTTAAAGTCGACCGATTTATTGGAAGAACAACACGAACTCGTACGCGCTTCGCACCGGCACGGGAAACGTTTCGCGGACGACTTCCAGATGGAACAACGGAGCTTCTTCGAGCTCGGTCGACCGCGAAAATTCTCCTCTTCGGTCGAGTCTGTTATTTAGCCGTTGCATGAATTGCGCAATCGACGTTCAATGCACTCGCCTCGAAAATTCATTTATCCTTCGCTCTTTTATCGTCTGCTGGCTTTCAACGGTACGACACTTTTTCACGTCGTGTTTTCATAGTTCAAAGACCACGTCGCTTTTAAAGAATTCTGGCGGGACTCTTTTTTCGCGAGAGAAGTTCTCCTAAATTCGACCGATTTATTGGAACAATAATGTCTAGACCGCGGTCGCGGTCATATCTTTCCGTGACATGTTTCGTATCGTACAGATGCAACAAATCTTTGCCGCTACAGAATCCTCGTTAACGACGCTGGAAAGTGGCATTGAGATTGGACTTTATGTTTGTTAAAAACCTGGAAGCTTCAAATGGTTGCTATTAGCAATCCGAGTAATTTAATTACGTTGGATTAAACGTTACAAAATTCATCCTCGATTATCCGCATTACCGTGAATTCTACTGGTTATTTCTAACGTTCCAGCTACACGTCGTAAAATTACATCGCGAATAAATAAATGGCTAACAGTTTGAACGATCGAACGTCTCAATAGCGATGATCGGCATCCAGCAACCAGGCAGACGAGAGTTTAATTCTCTGGTTGGTTTCCTGTCCATGCAACATTAAGCAGAGCCCCACTGGTTGCACATTTCTTTATCGTCGTCCGTCGAGTGACAGTAAAAGCTGGCCTGGGTTATCGGAATGACACTTCGTTACAGCCGAACGAGGTCGCCGGCAGTCTACTTACTCTCTTGCTATTTCTTATTGCAACGAGAACGGATCAAGTGTTCGCCGTAAAAAAGATTTGCTGGGAGCACAAGGATTTCTTTCAGCCGGTTAATTTATTAAAATGTATCGGAAACGTTTTCGTCGAGGTGAGGAGCAGCCAATTTAAATTCCTTCCCGCGAATATCTTGTTGCGACCGCGTCCTTTCACGGACGATTATTTCCTTAATTTCGATCAAGATACGTGTATATATATATTCATTTGTTTTAATAAAAATCTTCACCACGCAATGCTACCCTAATTAACACTAATTACCCGAGTGATCGAATCGTGAGAACTGGAGTTTCTCGAAAAGCTTGGGGAGAATAAAAAATGTACAAATGTTAACAACTGTAACACCTCGCAATTGTTTATTCAGAAAATTTTCGTTCATTGGTACAACCGTTTGTAATCGTAGTTTCCACTCTCATCCTACGCAACTAATTAACACGATCACACTTGTGCGAAATGTCAAACGTGCATCTGTTTTTTTTCGGTGCATGTTAATTATTTTTTCTCGCTTGTTTCGTAACGTGGAATATCACTGCAAATCGTACTACGTAAATGCATTTTACATGAATTTTAATTTGTACCAATTGACATGATCACAGCCAGTCATTGCAATAAAGGAACATAGGATATGCAATGAAAAATGATCAAATCGAATCTTGGCGCGATAGATCCTCGGAGCAACCATTCACTTCCGCAGTGTATTCGATAAAAAAGTGAAAACCACACTACGGTCATTTTAATCGTAGTGATTCAACTCGCAATATCAATATTTTATTAAAAATCGAGACTATCAGCTGTCGGTAGACTATCAGGCTGATATTCTGCAGGTAATCTGAAATATTTTAATCAATACTATACCGATAAAACCAGCACGAACGATCACTGTAGCATAACTACCGGAGTTAAATTTTTTGTTACCTATTTAAAAGCCATCCTAGCGCGCAAACTGCGTCTCGAATGTCGATCAGGGATTCCTCGATTACGTTTCTAGACATTCAAAGATGAGGATCGAGAACATCTAGATTCGTTCGTGTCTCCGAGAATACGCCAGTGCGGTTTAACAGACGTTAAAGTTCCTCTCGATTCCTCCCTTCTGCGAAGATTACCGCGATTAACCGCTATCGAGGGATCGATCTTGAAACAGGAAAGCGGCGGGGAGCTGGTAAAAGGAAAAAGGAAGACGAAGAGTCGAGCAGATGAAGAGAAAGACAGATGCTAAGGATAAAAGAGAGAGGGACGAAGAAAGATGCGCGAAAAGATAAGGGAGTACACGTCGCCTCGAGTTGCATTCGTTCGATTGTCCTTTTTAATTAGCCCCCGATCTGTTGGTAGCCGACCAGGTACGTCGACCAGGCTCGGAGCGTGTCTTCTTAATTGTTAATGGGAGTTACGCCCATTCGGGACCTCCGGAACGAGTTTCGATCGAGTTGCTTGCTTCGTGCTCGATCGAATGGAAGCAGAAAGCTCGTCGCTTCAAAAATCCCAAAAATGTTTGCCCGATGTTCGGGAGTGACGAAACAACTTTGGGTCTAATCAATTCCGTTCCGCAATTTGTACTCCTCTGACATTATCGCGGCTTCCAATTTTTTCGGTCAGCATTCGTTCAAGAATTTTTCAGAAATATTTGCTGATTTTTTGTCAAATTCAGCTCACTGAATTTTAACATAATTTTAGAAATATCTAAATCTTCGCATTTCTCAAATTGAGTTATTAAATTTCCAAAACAACTTTCGTATTTCTTAAATTTTTGAAGGATCGTTCACAAGAACTATGAAGGAGGTAATCCGCTTCTCATTTCTTTAAAATGCTGCCACTAATCGACCTGCTGCCAATTATGTCTAAGAAAGCTAACGTAAAAAGTTTATCTTAAATGTCCGGAAGGTAATGACGCGATTAGGTTGTTCTGGTCGATCAAAGTAGCTCTTGAAACGACACGATGTCTTTCGAGCAACATTACCGTGCAAAATGCCAGACGATGATCTTCCAGTCCCTTCCCCCTTCGTCCTCATAATCGTTTTGTTAAAACTTCACGCAACAACAGGGGCTGCAATATAAATCAATGCAGGCGCGATATTAATACGAGATTGCATCAATTACTCTTGTTTATTGTTTTGTTATCGAGTTTAATCGAATCTTGAAAGGGCTTTGGAACGTCTACATTGGATCTGGTTTATCTTATCGCGGGTACAAATTGCATTTAGAATGCATAAAAGGCGCATGTTCGATTGTACGCTTTGGAGTTCCAGAGATAAGTGAAAATGGTAAAAATTAGTAGCAGGAACGAAGTGTACGATTGAGAACTTCTGCAAGTTTCAAACAGTATAAATTCTAATTTTACAAAACATTGAGAAGTTGTAAAAAATACTCGTAAACTTTGAAGTTTCACCGGTAATAACATTCTCTGAAATAATGTACGTGCTCCGGTTTTTATTCCCGTATCACGGTTCAGTAAAATAATCAACTAGGAAAACCACAGAATTATTATTATCAGGAAACGACAACTCGTACGCTAACATTATACAATGTATGATTTAAATTTTTGTCGTAATAATAACGTTTTAACAAGTTTGAAATTGATACCGTCAAAGCCCTTTCACAAGGGAGAGTAAAATTGTTACTCACTAAGGTGACTGACTGTCGGCTGCGAGGCGACCACAAACATTTTTCTGTGCGACGGGAAAAACTCCGATGTCGGGATTATACTTATCGATATCTCGTTCTGGTTGCTTCCTGGCGGACTACCATGATCGTTTCGTCGATTGTCGTGTGTGCTGTGTCTTAATGGTACACCTTGAATAGTATGTCTGCAATTACTGACTATATAGCTGCTCACCTAGTTTCAAAAAGGAATCAAAAAGCCCCTTAGAAAATTAACGATCGAACAGAAAACTAGAAGAACATGCTACATCGTTTCTACTGATACGACAAACAGACGTAAACAACACGACTTGTCACTTTTTCTTAATTTTCGTGATTGATTTTACTTCATAAAATTTACTTCCTCAGATTTTTATTAGCTTTTGCACATCGATCTTCTTACATAGAAGTATGTGTTACAGCATTGTTTAAATTATCGTTGGTTTAATAACGTAATGATTTTTCCAAGTGCAAAAGCTTGTCGGAATCTGGGAGCAAATAAAAATGGACGTAACTAGGATTAGCTTAAAGAAAATTGCAACATGGGTCAAATTTCTCAATCTTGATTATAGAATATTTCATATGAGTATTTATTTCTTGGGTCAGTATATTTGGGACCACCTTGGGCCTCGCCTAGTTACGCCAAGTGGTTACAAGTGGTTTCCTGTAAGATCATCGCTTCACGATGGCTTACCGAAGATATGATGAAAACAACGAGTAACGCAACGCCTAGCCAAAAGTACCAGGCTTCCCAAAAGTGTCGTGGCGGCCGTCTTTGTACCAGCAGACAACACTGAGAATTGCAACAACAATACAAGCAATATTTATCTGGGGTGCACGCGTACGGTTTAATCGTTTCAATGTCTTCGGTGCCGTTTTTCAGGGCCACGTTACATTCGTAATAAAGCCGGGCCATATCGTTAATCGCGCATGGTGCGAAAGCACGCTACGAAAATGGCTCTATTAAGACTAAAAAGTAGCGAAGAAACGAGACGTCGCGCGAATCGATCAAGCGGCATCGAGTCACGAACAATCTAAAAAAAATCTTGTTATTTTCGGGATGCATAACGCCGTCGGCGCCACTTAATTTACCACGCCAGACACCTGTTCCCCTTACTTACCGGGTTGATGACACACGACAAACACGCGAAATGCCCTATCTCATTCGCTTGCTTTTTGATTTTTCGTCTGGTCTCGAAACGACGGGAAACCTTTCAAACGCGACCACGTACCCGGCGACGACTGTTTTGTCTCCCATTTGTCCGTTCGGTCTTATCACCGGCTGAACACTGGACAGGCTTGAAATAATCGATAGAACGAGCTTGCGATGTCCTTATTCACACGCGACTTCTGATCGATACGGTAAATTGACCGAGTTTATAACTCTGGAAAATTGCGCTCGCCAAACATAGCATCGACCGCGATTCCTCCGTGTCTTTACACAGTTCTAGTTCCAAAAAATTGGAGAATTTCAAACAAACCCGTAGATTAAGAAATTTATTATTAAACTTTTCGATAAAATACAAATTTGTACAGTAGATATTTTAGCTAGGTGAAACGATACAGCAGACAGAATGAAAGTATCGTACAGTTTCGAGTGGTCGAACTGGTCGGAATGATAAATAAAGAGGTAAAATTAATATTGATTCGAATCATGCGGCGGTGGGGGTGGAGGTGGACCTCTCGGTGGGAAAGGTGGTCGGAATTGCGGAGGTGGAGGCGGTGGCGGGCCACCTTGAGACACC